GGTTCATCTTCCATCGGAAAGTTGTCATCAACCGGCGGGTTGATAACATGTTGAGCCAATTGCTAGTTCAACATGTCAACTTGTCTCTGCAGATTCTTGACTTCGTTTTTGACTTGCTGGGGTTAAGGGTTTTGGCTACCTGACCGGTAATCATGCTTCCACGACAACAACCGAGATGGAGAATTGCAAAGTTGCAAAACAAACTTTATTTGCTGTAAAAGTAATAATATATTCACTAAATTATAAACCGTAGCAATTACATTTCTTCCTCCCCAATCCGAACCTTATATTAAGCTCAATTTCTTGGGTTCGTCCCTGCTTCACATGCACGACTCAAGGACAGGTAAAAAAAAAAAAATTGTATATATATAACACACACGACACCCAGTTATCTCACTTAAAACATACTAAACAATTTGTATATAAATTTTGTTGAGTAATACAAATTTGCATATTATGTGATGCAGACAGATCCTTTTGGACAAGGGCGGGTATTCAGAAAGTGTTGCATGAAGCTTACTTGAGGTGCTGTTCAGTATGAATCGGTTGATTGATCCTCTTGGGGATGCGTTTGCATTTTCTTTCACGACTTGTGCTCTTTTGTATGATGTAGGTTGTTTTTTTTTTTTTTTTAGGGGCTTTGGATTGTGGCAAGGTGTCATTAAGTGTTGGTCCACTTTTTTCTTTCTAGAGTTACTAATATGGGTTGTTTAATTTATCTGGTATTTGCCATAGCACTCTTTTCCTTCAAAGAGTTAGTTGGCAGTCAACTCCCTTGGAGTATTCGTATTCTTGGTGTCTTAATTTTAACTGGAGTCTCTGTCTCACACTTCTTCTTTTCTTTTTTTTTTTGTTTTTTTTGTTTTTTTTTTTTCTTCCGGGAGATATTAATATGGGTTGTTTAATTTTTGATAAATTATACTAACCTTATTTTGTTGCCCCGTGCTCCGGCAGTATGCTTCATTATAAAGCGTAGCCAAGCACTCCATTACCTTTAGATTGTTTTAGTAATTAAAATTTTAAATATTTATGCAGCAAAATGTGTTGTCAAAATTAAAGTTTAAGAATAAAACCTTAAGTTTAAGGGATTACAATTATTTATATAATATATATATATGTATATAATTATAGAATGAAATATATAATATTAAAATAAATAGGTCAGTGACCTACCGGTATCAAACCCTCAAGCCTCGATAGAGTCGTGTGTTGCATTTTACACTCTTATTTTTTTTGTTTAACCTTTTTTACATTTATACCCATAAAATTTTAAAGGACGATATACATACCATAACTGAGACTCAAGCTCATACCATGACACTATATCATAAATATATAAAGTTCGTATACAATGAACTTTCATGAGATTTGGGCTAATTGCAACTAAACCGGAACTTTGCCATTTTTTGCAATGACCCTCCTTTGTCAGATTTTGTTGTGAATTTCCTTATCTACCCTCATTATTATATTATAAAAATAATCAAAATAACTAAATATATCAAATGTCAATTTTACCCCATACTTACAACCCCACATTTGTAACAGATCAATCTCCACCGATCCCCACCTCCATCAATCTCCACCGTCTCTCTGTCTCTCTTTCAATCTCTGGGTGCAACAATAGCCGCGTCACCACCATCGCAATCCCCACCTCGTCAACCACCACCGCCGCCGCCTCCGCCACCGCCGCCATGGATTCCGCACCATTGCACCTCCACAAACACCGCCACATCCCCACAACGACCACCATCTTCACCCCCCAAACCACCACCACCAAATCTGGTCTCAAAAAGTATTCCCCCAAAATTTTTGACTTTGAATCTTTCTTCATCCATATCGTCGGCTCAGGCCGGTATAGAGGAAGGTTCGGGGAAAATGGTTGTGGACTATGCAATATGTATATATATATAATATTGAAAGAAAATGGTATGCAATATGGTTCAGGTGGACTTTGAATCTTTTTCTGTATGATATATGTATATATATATAATATTGAAAGAAAATGGTGATGGACTATGCAAGTGTGGAATTTAATGGTAGTGGCGGTGGTTGTCTGGTGGTGGCGAAAATGGAACAGTGGTTGGGTTTGAGAGTAAAGAAAAACAAGAGTGGTGAAAGAGGGTGGGGATTGGCGGTGGCGGTGAAGGGAGTGGAGTGGTGTTGCGTTTGGGTTTTTTATTGTGCTTTCTTTTCTTTTCTTTAACAATCCTAAATTTAAATAAATTAATGTAAATAATAATTATTAAATTATCTATTTGTTTTTAAGTTGTAAATAATATTATTTTAAACTATAGATTTGATTTGAATATCTAATTAAAATGTAATTAATATAAAAATTAAATATAAATTACATATCTATAAATATTTAACATATGAATTTAAAATTTTAATTAAATATTGATTTTCAAGATAATTAAGTTTTGTAAAATCTTAAAAAATAAATTCATAAGTGATTTATAAAATTTGATCGAATGTGTTTGGTAAATAAAATTTGAGGGAGGGAGTGGGTCATTTTTGTCCATTAAAACTTTTCATTTGATAATACTATAATGCTACGTTTGGTGTGCAGGAATGGAATGAAATGCAAGTGGGAATGGAATAAGAATGAGAATGGATCTCGTTCTATTGTTTGGTTGTAAATATGAAACGTGTAGGAATGGAATGATAATAACCATTCTAGTGTTTGGTTGGACCAATTTAAAATTTAGAATGGAATAAATTTCTAATTGAATTCTCCAAAATATCATTCTTAGTAACAAATAAATTAAATTAACGATAGTGCAGGTGGTGGAAGGCGGCGACGGTAGTACTAGTGGTAGCGGTGGCGGTGGTGGAAGGCGGTGGTGGTGATGAAAGGTGGTGGCAGTGGCAGTGGCAGTGGTGGAAGGTGGTGGCGATAGAAGGTGATGGCAGTGGTGGAAGGCAATGGCGACGGTGTTGGTGGTTGTGGAAGGCGGCGGCGGTGGCGGTGGTGGTGAAAGGTGGCGACGGTTGTGGTGGTGGTGTAAGGCTGTGGCAGTGACGGTGGTGGAAGGTGGTGGTGGAAGTGAAAGGTGATAGCAGTGGTGGTGGTGGAAGTGAAAGGTGATAGCAGTGGTGGTGGTAATGAAAGGTGGTAACAGTGTTGGTGGTGGAAGGTGGTGGCTGTGGTGAAAGGCGATGGCGGCTGTGGTGGTGGAAGGTGGTGAAAGGCAATGGCAGTGGTGGTGGTGGCAGTAGCGCTGGTGAAAGGCGACGGCAATGGTGGTTGTAGAAAACGGTGACGGTAGCGGTGGTGAAAGGCGGTGGCGGTGGCGGCGGCGGCGGTGGTGGTGGAAAGTGGTGGGCGATGGTGAAAGTCGGTGGTGGTGGAAGGCAGTGGTAGTGGTGGTGGTGGTGAAATGCAGTGGTAGTGGTGGTAGAAGGTAATGGTGGTTTCTGGACTTGAAATATGAGGGTGTTTTGGAAAGTCGATTTTTTAAATAAATTACTTGGGAATGGAATGGCCATTCCATAGGTTTAGTTGTGGAATGGATTTTCATTCCAATGGAATGGCCATTCTCACTTTAAGTTACATACCAAACAAAGAAATGGTTAGAATAGACATTCCATTCCATTCCATTCTTGCACACCAAACGTCTTTTTTTACTTGATTGGTGTATTTTGGTTACTTTAACCATTTTTTTTTAATTATTTTTTGTACGAAGGGGAGGTGTTTGCAAAATTGGGTAAAAATCAGGGGGACACCCCAATTTTAAAATTGGGCCAACTGAAATTATGAAAAAACTTCTGAGTATGATTTTATAGATCCGTCTCTAGTACCAACTATGAATATATATATTAAAAAACTTATAGAAAAGAAAATATATAATATTACAAAACTTATTTGTTTTTAATAATAATAACATAGTAGTAATTGAAAAGGAAATCTAATTAAAAAGTACTAAAGGAATTTTTTAAAAGAAGTACGAAATTTTTATTTTGTTAATATAAGTAATCAACATTATACATAGTGATTTTGCGAGCTAAAGTGAATAGCCAAAAAGCTTCATATGCAAATTAGTTATGGTGAAAAATAGAAAGTATACAGAGATGCAACCGGAGTTGTAGTTGAGTGGTATCAAAATAAGATAAGGTGTTCTTTTTGAACAATACTTGGGTCCAATATAGCTCAATAAAATTGGGACAAGTATTAAAATTAAATATAAAATAAAATTAGGCAGTGCCTAACTTTTGCCTTCGGACATGTGTTTTAAATTCTAACTTTTACTTTTGAACACTTGTTTTAGATTTATTGGGCCTTTAAAAAATAAATGTTGGCATAACATATTTAAAAACACACACACCAAAAAAATAATAATAAAAAATAACATGTATGGATGACTATTCAAAAAATAAGTAATGATACCAAAGTTGAAATAGAACATATTTTTTCGGTAAACAAATATTTTTCAACCATCACTGCCAAACAAATCCATTAAAATAAATTAAGGTGTTATTTCAAAAATAAATAGTGGCATAAAATAACTAAACACAAAAATATATAACAAAAAAATCAATCAAAGTGTATTGAAAACAGTCATCCAAAAGCCTACTTACAGAAAAAATTAGTGCAATTCAAAGAATAAGTAATAATACCAAAGCTGAAATTGAATATAATGTACCTATAATAAAGCAAATATTTTTGAACAATCTTTGCCAAATAAATTCATCAAAATAAATTAAGGCGTTCTTTCAAAAATAAATAGTGGCATAACATAATTAAATACAAAAATATATAACCACCAAAAAAAAAAATCAACATGTATCGAAAATAGTAATCCAAAAACCAAACTAAAGAAAAAATTACTGCAATTAAAAGAATAAGTAGTAATACCAAAGTTGAAATAAAACATAATGCAGCTAAAATGAAAATCAAAATATATTAATGTGTTCTTTGAAAAATAAATGGTGGCAAAACATAATTAATCCCAATGTGCTTTTAAATTTGACTTCATAGATTCTATATATACAGTCGATGATCAGAGAGGCACAATCCAAGAAGGAGTCGGTTGAACCTTGTTCTTCTTCTTCTTCAAGCGGCCCCACCTACGTATGATTCTATCATCCAAATTGAAAAAACCCAAATCATTACCTTTAGAAATGCGGGAAATGCCGCGGTCGGTGGTGAAGTAAATGGAATTGGGGATCAACAAGCCAGGAGGGAAATCATTGGCTGAGAGAGACTCAGAGTGGTTGGCACCAACAAACAATACCTGATCACCCAAGTCACGCTTACCAACCCATTCCTTCCTCACAAAGTCAAACTTATACACCTCAAAAAAAACCGTGGGAGCATCCTTTGGTAAAGGCGGCCACTTAGCCGATAACGTAAACGGATAATCAGTAGAAAAATATCTCTTTACCAATAGGAGATCCCCCGAGGACACGACTAGACGGCAATGCATGAAAGTGATTCCCGGAATAGTGGATTTTGTTACTACACTACACTTTGGAGAGACAGGATTGCGAAGATCCCAAGCTTCTAAACCAAAAGAACCCAAAGCATAGAAAAGTTGGTGCTCGCTAAAGTAAACCAGGTCAATGTAGGGATAACTTGTTCCGTCCAAGGCAGTCCATGAAGTGTCCCCAATCTTGCAGAAAGCAAGACCGTGACACATGGGAGAGGCCGCGTGGCCTTGGATGGCTTGGATGGTCATCACCGTGCAGTCGTCCGAAGAATTCGAGGGTAGTCGTCCAAATTGGGAATGTGGAGGGGGGTGAGGAAAGGGCCATCTTTTTAAAGAAATTTTCACTAACTTTTTCTGATGGTACAGCTGAGATGTAGCCTGGAATATTGTATTCCGTAGTAATAGCAGTAGTATTAGATTTTTTGCTGTGTTTTTCTAGGCGTATCGATGGGAGGGAGGGGGATGTAAGGGAAAGAGTTGTTGATCAATGGGTTGTAGAGATAGATGCAACAGTTGCGACGGTGAATATTTGCCAACCAACCATGAGAGGACCCAAAGCAAATGGCATCGTCTGCTGAGAGGATCTCCTTTTGCCATGGAAGCCAAAAAGTCTTCTTCTTCTTCATCTTCTTCTTCAATACTAATTTCTTCCCTTCAACGCTCAACAAGTCATAGTAATCTTCATCATTACTAGTACTCGGCAACGTTTGCTTTGGCCATTTTTTTTCTGTCTTTTATAATTGAAACGTCACCGTTTTACAATGACCTAGATTTCTTTTTTTAATTGACGTGGCCAAATCCTGGCCGTTGGATAAGAGGAACGGGGTCATTGATTCTTTTATAATTGAAACGTCAGCGTTTTACAATGACCTAGATTTCTTTTTTTTTTTTTTAATTGACGTGGCCAAATCCTGGCCGTTGGATAAGAGAACCGGATCCTTGACTCAGATGGCAAGTCTTTAAAAGCCTGACAGAGTACGACGATACACGTGTATTCGAGAGAACACTTTTTTTGTTCTGAATGAAACCCTATCTATATATCTAATCTAGTTTGGGCGGCTGCTTCCCCGAGTTCCCAAGAGAAGAAATAGAGAGACTCAAGAGAAGAGATGAGGCCTCACAAAGAAAGCGAAAGAGATTCAAGAGAAGAGAAGAGGCCTCACAAGAGAACAGCCTGATTATAGGTTGAAGGTTATAGGTGGAAGGCAAAGGTGAGATATTCGATATTCCATATATTTCAACTTTGCTTCTTCCTTTTTATTTATTTATTTATTATTTTTTCCCTTGTCAAATCAGATTTCTGTCATCTGTGAATTAGATTTTTTTTTTTTTTCTTTTCTTCCTTCAAAGGCCATCAGATCTGTTTTCCAATTCCTAAAACAGACCCAAAGATCTATTCTTTTTTAGCTGCTAAATCAAATCTGTTTTCCAATTCCTAAATTCCTAAAACAGATCTCTTTTCCAGCCCTAACCCTAATTGACTCTCTCAATGTCCATCTCCCCACCTCTGCTGAGCCCTTCTTTGGCTCATTCGCAGTCGTTTCCTCGCTTGTCGTGGCAGAGAGAGATTTCGTAGGGATGATGGGCTTGAACATCCATCATTTCAAGGATAAGCAATTCATAATGATTTGTCTATTATTTTATTATTTTCAGAGATAGGTCCAAAATTAACGAATTTAAGGCTGCATGGATACAAAATTAAAGAAACGGTTTTTTTTTTTTTGGTCTTCGTCGTTGTGTGTTTTCATTATCTTCTCACCTATCAAACTATGATCACAATGCATGTATAATTCATGTCCCTCAATCTTTTTGACTCAGGTTTACATTTTGGTATGGGAGGAATTGGAAAAAAGAAAAGGTAAGCTTATGAGATCTGTTGTTCTATTAGTGCTAACTTTTTCATTGTTTTTCTATCTATTTTTTTATTTATTTATTTATTCACATTTCATGTTGTTATACTTTCTATATACTTTACAGTAAATAGATCATAAGATCACCACTTGCGTGAACTTTATCCTTTTGCATTAAAATACACATTTATTATAATATTATTTTTATTATCATTTCTCTTATCTAAATATTAATTATACTATTTACCTTAATTTTATTATTAATATAAATTTATCATAAAAATGAAAAAAGGATTAATAGATTTCTAACTAACATTTTGGATAGATTCTGGGGCCGATAGAGTGTGAGACTAGTTGTTAAAAATCACGATACTGACGATTCCGATCTGAGGAAGAAGTAGGTACCCTACCGATTCTATTAGCGAATTTATTTGGGCCTACCATTAATTTTGGACTAATAAATTTAATCATTAATTTTAAATATAAAGTCCAACTCTTTAGCCTAATTACATAAAAAAATAAAAAACAAAGAAATGAACTTCAAATGTAGATACAATTAAGTCTGAATTTTAAAATTTCAAAAATTTCCTTTAGTTTAATTTATTTTTCTTAATTTCTCTTTTTTTCTTTTTTCTCTTTTCAGTACAAGGAACATAAAGAATTCTATTTTTTCACCTATTCTTTGTAATTCTGAAACAAAAATCAAGAAATACTTCATTATTATTATTGTGTTGTGATTTGTTTCGAATCATAAACATATTAATAACTACTTGGTCCATACTCCATAGTCCATAAGTGAGACTGACTACTTGGTGATGTGAGTCTGTGACTACTTGGTGATGATGATTTTGAGGAATTTGTTTAATTTTGAGGATTTTTGTTTGTGTTCTTTTTGGTTCCGTTCTTTTTTTTTTTTTTTGTGTTTTGGCCTTATTCTTGCACCCAAAAATTGGGAGGTTCTCAAACATTGAAATTTATTTTTTAATTATTACATATCCAGTTTCTCCCGTGTCCTTCGGGGGTTTGCATCTTTTTTCTCGACAAGAATAGCCTCCAGTCTCATGTCATGTCAGAGACTATCATTGCAGGGGTCGTCACAATCATCCTTTGCTCCCTGAAGAATTTGGGTCTCACAACATAGACGGTCCCTTATGTCATAACCCCCGTCCTTATGTCATAACATCATTTACCGAAATGTTCTCATTATTCAGGTAATTTTTTTTGCTTTTGTGATGATTTGGTTTGGTGTGTTCTTTCTCTCACTCAAAATTTTAGAACATTACTGTAATGTCACTGTATTATTTTTCATTTAGTGTACCTTCTGGGTCATCATCATGACATTGAGATCTGGAATATCATGTGATCTAAATGGGATTTATAGTGGAATCCAGTGGCATTCACAAGTTGAAATAGTGTTCATCTGTTCATATAGAATTGGGTGAGAATGATGCTAGCACTATATGACCATGCCAAAATTGTTATACCCTAAAAAGCCGTTTCAAGTATGGCCTTATCTGAATTATGTTGTGCATAGAGTACTTACCGCTAATGAACAACGTTCCACTAGCCTGCAGATCAACACAGAGTATCTGAATCATGTTGTGCATAGAGTAGAGTAGCTCGTGTTGGGTTTAATTAAAATTAAATTTAATTACAAGGTAAAATTGTTCAAATATTGTGGGCCCCGGGATACAATGCAAAGAGATAAAGATATTTGATTCTATCCGCTCACTACATTTTTGACATAAATTATTAACATCTTAGAGTAAAATGATATCTCTGTTGTTCTGCACCACCTAAGCATTGTCATGCCAGGAATGGACTTTCACTTGGTCATTTTCTTGAAAGCCTTTGAGGTCCAATTTTTCATGGATACATGCAGAATTGGGGACTATGCATCTTACATAGATCATTCATGAACCAATACATTTTTTATTATGTGCTTAGCAAGTTTGAATTTTTTTTTTTTTTTTTTTTTTTTTTCTCTCTCTAATTTTATGAGGATTTTAATGACCTTTTGTGAAAAATAGATCACTCTTTATCAAAACCCAATCGTGTAGGTGGTGAAGCACCATCCAAGGATGGAATTTTTAGTGTCACTTTCTTATTACTCAATTGCGATGAATGTAGAGTGGGATGGTAGAGTTTGGATGTACCTCAGGGTCTAGACGGCCTCCAAATTATTTTCTGCAGTGGGTTAGGTGCTTTTAACATCTCTTTAATATATATATATATATATATATATAAGTTTCAAGTAGCTCAGGATTGGTGGCAAAGAGTCTCTTTGCTAAAAATTGTGATCACAGTCAGGAAGGATGAAGCCAGTATAAGAAGCAAGAAAGTGGTTGGGGGATTGGGTTTTCACGAGTATATTTTATTTTAGACAAAGTTCCAACAAGAACTTCTTTTGCATGTGGGATTGGCTAAAATCTTTCTCCCATTATATCTAATCGCATGGATTCACTTTCAAATCTCAAATCCACTGATTCGTTGCACTATTTACGTCGCTAAGTTTTACCTCACCAATTTTTTTTTTTTTCAAAGTTAAGCTGTATTCACAGGATGCCACAAATACGACACTTGACTCTTAGTTTGTTGTTGTTTTAGGCAGTAAGTGTTAAACACGTTGACAAGAGAACATAATTTCAAATTTGTTTTAATGTGCACGCGTTCTTGTGAAGTAATTAGAGTGTATCCATTGGTGGTGGTGTTGTTTTAGTTGTGTTTTTGGGGAGAGGGGAGCTTCTGGCTCGTATTTTCTAAATTCAATTCATTTTCATTGATTCCTCCTAAATTGCATGGATGGTCAATGGTTTTTTCTTTTGTTGTTTGCACCTTGGACCTGTTTTTATAGGGCATATTGTATTGAGTATTTAATTTAAGGAAAAACTAGGAAATTCTCTCTTTTTCTAACAGATAAAAATAAATAGAAAAATATTCAAAGTGTCTTTCTTGCTTCGACCCCGGAAAGATAGACCCGGGGTTTTAGATTCATCTGAAGGAAAAGAAAATATAACAAAGAAGCCGGTGAAATAAATTAAGCAGTTATGATTAAATCATTCTAGATATTGAAATTTTAGTGTTAAATAATTAATTTTTCAGATTTTCATTTTTTTTTGTAGGTGACTTCTCCATTTTTTTTGACCCGAAAGCTGAGGTTAATGTGGAAATATTGAGAACTTTTTTCTCCAACTATGATGTCGAAGTATTGTTGACCTTTCTTGACCTTTGGGAGTTCTCAAACATAAAATTTAGTTTTTAATAGTTACATATCCGGCAGATTGTCGAACACACCTCAGGAGAAGAAGTGATTGTCTGGAAGTAGTGTCATGGTCGTGTGAGAAACTTATTATTATTATTTTTTTTTTTTTTGGTTTCAATGACTTTTTTTGTTCATGTAAATGGAAGGTAGTAAATACTTAGAAGAACTTCTATTTTGGTTTCGATGGTTTTTTGGTCAGGTAAAATGGTAGAAAGTTGAAATCGAAATCGTATTTGGTTATCCCTTGATGTGTGTGCTTGGTCATATTATCTAATTTATCTCTATGTATTCAACACAAATCTCAAATCTCTATTACTTAATTTTTGAAACTAATGGTCCTTGATGTTAGGAGGAAAGGAAATAAAGAGAAATGGATGTGTGCCCTTATCCCAATTCCTAGATGGTAAGAAAAGAGTAAAAATTGCGAGATGTCACTTGTATAATGTGTTTTCTACATATTTTTTTAATTAAGTTAAACGTATTTTTCTACATGTTTATAAATAGTATTAGAGAAAAATGTAAATAATAAAAAAGTATTGGCATGTAATAATTGAAATTATTAGTCTCAAACAAATTCTTTCGTCTCCTTTGATTTTATAACAATTCACTTAATTAGGTGTCTCTGTGGATTATAATAGGCTACTAATATGTTGGAACATGAATTACAATAATGACTAACACTTTATTTTACTATATTTCACTCTTTAAAAGAAAAAATAAAAAGGTTAATTGAATTTTTGGCCACAAGTAATTTCCTTCCAAATCACCTTTAGTAACTATAAATAGGTAACCATAAATACAATTTTTAAAAAAAATTTAAGAGTCCCAATTTTTTTTATACAAAGTCACCATAAATAGCCTCAGTTCGATAATTAATATATTATATTTTACAACATTCTTAATTTAACTTTTTGCACTAGACTTATAAAAATAATTAATTAAAATAAATAAATAAATACTATAAACCCACCATGGATAGATTTGGTAATTCATTTACTTTTTCAATTTAGTAAAAAATATTAAAACTCACATTTAAAAAAAAAACTCAGATTTTTTAAAAGTTAAGTTTTCAAGAAGATAAACTTAAAATAGATTTTTTCTTATATAATCTTATTATTATAATGACAATGACAACTTTACTTGACAGTTTAACAACTGGTCCAATTCCCGTAGAACGAACGGGAATTTAGGCTAATAAAGCATAGTATGCAACACCATTTATCACATGGACAGGCTAAAAAAATTCCATATAAATTTATTTTGGTGCATTTTTTTTTTATTTGATGTTCCAAAAATGACCTAAAGATTTATATCATAAATTTTTAAAAAGTCGTACCATGCTTGTATAAGATAATTTTTTGAAAAGAAAAGAAAATAATAAATCCTTCAGATTTAAAGAATTTTAAATTGATTCTTCGTGAGCGGTCTCCTCACATTATATCAGAGAGCAACGCCCTCACTCACATTCTACCTATTCTACAAGATGCTCTTAAAAAATTCAAATTAGTCAAAGATGAAAATTAGAAAATTAGAAACCGTAACTTAAAATTATTATTATGATATGTGTGTTTGAAATTTTAGAAAAGACAAATTGCGTAAAATAAATTCATGATGAATTGTAATGAAATAAGTACTCCCTCCGTATCGCTTATGAGACAGGATCCTATCCAGAGCTGGAGAGGTTCTGCATAGGTAACAGCCACTGGATAAATGGGACCCACTAGTGGTCTCAATTTAAGTGTCGCTTATAGGACAAGGATCCTATCCGGCGTTGGAGAGGTCCTACACAAGTAACAGTCACTGGATAAATGAGACCCACTAGCGATGATGCAATATCAACTGCTGTTACTTGTACAGGACCTCTTTAGCGCTGGAGAGGATCCTTGTCCGTCGCTTATGGGGTGTAGTAATTTTTAGGGGACCGTCCCAATTTAAGTGTTGTTTATGGGGAGTAGTAATTTTTAAGGTGACATGTGAGACATACATTATTTCCTACTAACTTGCTTTTTTAAGTTTTGAATATTCAAGTTTGAAAATCTTAATTCAAAGGATATATATAAAAATATGTGAAATATGTTGTTTAAAAAAGAAAAGTGGACAATTATTTTAAGACAGACAAAAAAAGAATGACACTTATTTTGAAACAGAGGGAGTATATAAAAGAGGAAAGGTAAAGTGCAAAAAAAAGCCAACCACATAAAAGTGTGCAAAAATAAAAATAAAAATAAAAATAAATAAATAAAACCACTCATACTATTTTAGTGGGTGCATATAAATTGTCAACATTTTAAAATATGTGCAAATAGCTTCTTAATATCTCGGTCAATTTTAAGCAGCTTTTTATATATATAAAAACTTCAAAATGTCATTAATAATCACTCTCTAATCATGAAATCATTGTTTGGCTGTTGGACACCAAACAGCCAAACGGCCACAAATGGATAATTCACACCGAATAATACATAGTATGACGTTACTGGGTTTTGAGAAGCCTACTGGTTTCGTCTGTGTAGATGAATTCCACCTTCTCTCGCTAAAAACACATTCTCTCTCTACAAATTTTCTACATTTTTTTTGCTTCTTTGGCTTCTCTTGTCCTACAACTCACACATATATTCTTTCTCGTCCTACAATTCACAAGGTATTTAATTATATTCCCAGATTATTATACTATTAGGGTTTGAATTTTCTCTCATTATCGTTGTTTGAGCTCTTGTTGCCCTCTCAATTGCGAATTCAGTTGAAGTTGAAATCATCAATGGAAGATTCGGGAAGGAAGAAGAATAGGGTGGTGGTGATTGGAGGGGGAGTTGCGGGCTCTCTTATTGTTGTTCTCATCGATTTGTAAGTTTTTATGCTCTCTACAATCTATTCTTTAAAAGTCCCTTTTTTTTTTTTAATTTAATTTTTTATACTCTGTTGTTAATACTGAAGAAAAATTGAATCGAGCTGAGCTTGCAAAAAATGTTGATTTTTTAGGTAGCTTTGTATTGGAATTTTATTTCCTGTCACATTACTGAATATGTTTGTTTTATGAGGTTTTTGGGAGTAGTTTTTGTTCAGTTACTATAAAATGGGCTGGATTGCTGCCCTCTCAATTTAAACCAGTGTGTTTAATTTTTCCTTTTTCTTTAATTTAATATAGAATTGAGAATAGTGAAAATATTTGTAAATGATGAACTAGGTGGGTGGAGGCATTTTGAGAACGAATTATGCTGTTGCAATCGGCAAGAACGACAATGTTTGGAAAATTAGAAGCGAGTCAATGTGATTAGGCGCAATTCTATATCCTTTTTCAATATTTTTGTTTGCTACACCAATATAATACAATGTAGAACTAAAAGAGTTGAAAGTTATTGATTCTGTACAGCATTTAGTGATTTTGTAAAACCTGACACTCAGTAACAGGAGAAAATATTGATTCCCAGAATTATTATACACGCCTAAGGGATGCTTCATGACTTCTGTTAAATGGAGCACTGTATTTCAAACTACTGAAAGAAGAGTTGCCTGGATGGTATCGGGTGCATCTCATGATACACAACTTGAATCATAACCAAAGTCCCAGGAATTAGTTGGATCCATCATAACTTATTTTGACCTTTTATTTATTTTTTTGTTTCATTTATTAATGAATGGATTCATTAAAACCCCCAAGGGGGACTCTTATGTTCCATGATGTACACACAAGGTGTGGCCCCAAGTGCCATCGCAGAGGCAAAAATTCGTGGTGTAATTTAGCCCTGTGACACAAGGCAACCATACAAACTATATTTTTATCGGTATCCTAAAAGAATCTATCAACAACAAAGAGTTAGCGGTAATTTATTATATACCCACACAGTGAATCTATCAAGTCTGTAACCATTGCACAAATGCGAAATGTGCCCACAAGTCTGTAGCCATTGCATAATTGTGAAAAGATGACCAACAGTCTTTTGATCACTTTTGCTCCTATTTGTTCATGGTCAAGATCCTCCCAAGAACATACATCTGTCCAAAGACAACTACTTTGCAATGCACATTACTGTGTCAAGTAGCTTCCAAGCAAAACCCTCTTAACCGCTACCTCCATTGAATCCACCTCAATGCATCATCTTGTCCACACAATTTGATCATAGAGTGCCCTGGAATGCCACTGTATCGTCCAAATCCTATTCCTGCACCAGCATATGAAAATTGCAATATTACATCCTAAACCTCTCCAAATTCCGAAACCTCGGAGTCTCAAACAAACCATTACAATAGCCTGACGATCAACCAACCATAACTGTATCAAGACCTGGAAAAGGGTTCCTTGGCACATCCATGGTCAAAACATAATATGATTTTTTCCTGTTAACAAGTTTTCAAGAAATAGTAACGATCTTCTTAATACTAAATATTGCTGTATAAAGGACCCAGGTTTAGCAGTGTATTGGAACGAACATTGTTGTTGGATCCGTGAAATTTTTCTAGTCATCAAACTTCACTTAAAATGTACAGACAACATTTTCTGATCCGGGATTTCCATAAATTTGGGTTTTTAATGTCTTTTACTGAAATTTGTTTAGTTTATGAGAATTATTTACAATGAAATAATCAGTTATATATTTTGCAGTCAAATTAGTGGTGAATTAACAAGGTTAGTGAGCGTATCTATGTCATTTGAGCAAGGTGTGGAATTAGTAGAGGAAATGTCAACCATTTCACAATGATGTTAGAAGATCTTGATGTATATATATTTTTCATTCTTAAGGAAAACTGAGAATGGTGTTAATGTCCTAAATTTTTTAGTAGCCCAATTGTATGTAAACGCCATTTAGAGTGGAACAGGGCCATTCATGTGCCCTAATTTAATGCTTCTGTAGGCACTAAAGAATGCTAGGGGCTGGGCTGGGCGGGGTATTAAATCAGGCCATAAATATGCTGTAGGTTGAAATACGCAGGACATATTTTTATTTTATTTTATTTATGGGGCTGGAAATTACTTAAGATTGAGAAGTTGTTTTGGTAGTGATTCGAGATTATAGCCAAGGAATATATGCAAAATGTTGAAGGTAGGTTTTTTTATAGGGTTTTTTAGACTGTAGGAAAATGAAGATTGAATATTGTTTGTCAAGAGTGTTTTTTGCCATTATTGACTTTTAAATTTCATCAAGATAGCCTTATATTTGTTCTGTTCGTCACTTTGGAGTTTGGAATGGACTGTCTGACAAGTTAACTAAGTAGGAGTAATTTGTGGGTGAAGAAAGGTCAAGAACATTGCTTATTTGTGGTTTGATTGGTTAATGTGATAATGCCTCGTAAGGGATCGATATGGCAGTCTCTCTTCCAGTCCCAACTAAAAGGAGAGGCAAAAACTATGAATATGTCGACACCATCGACCTATTTCCTCATATTATCCATAAAATAATTTTTTTATAATCATGTTGTCCAGTAACTTAGTTTCTTTATTTCTTCTCTCTCTCAATGAGGGTGGGGGTATAAGGTGGTGTCGGGAAACTGAGATGTGTTCGCAAGCTCTTATATGAAACTGGGTTGTAGTTGAACAAAATGTCTATGGGTGAGTCATTTGTTTACAACTGAAGATGAAGAAGATGCACTGACATTGGAGATCATATGGAGCCTTTCACTAAAATCAATCACATGGTTAGGTAAATTTCAAATGAGACTTTAATTGACTTAGGTATCTCGGTGGCTTAATTTATTATATAGTTGGACAGCCCATGACCTAAGTCTGAGCATCAATAAACATTTAAATTAAAATAATCTCAAGTATTTAAACAGAGAACTTCAATCAAACCCAAACGTGGATCGGTCCAGCACTTGTTAGAATTTTGAAAATAAAAACAGAATCAAACGATCAAAAGCCCAATCAATCAATCTTGTCAATCAGTGGCTACTGGTGTACTTTGAACAGTTGAACCTGAGGCCCGATTTATTGACCATCTGTAAGCAATCTTATTGATAGACATTTCCTATTTTTCTTAGGATTCCTATATTGGCTATTAACACATGCTTATAGTCAGTCTATGGTGATACAGAGAAAGAGAATTGAGAAATATAGAGAGAAAGAGCATAAAGTTCTGATATTCAATCTAGGGTTTTATATTTTTCCTTCAATGATGTTGGTGTCGGGCCTCTTAGAGCACCCCATAATCCACCATCGGGCACATGCACCATAAAGTTTTGATATTTAATTTAGGGTTTTATATAATCCACCATATTTCATATGTGATTGATAGAACCAAAGTAATGAGTCAAATTAAGTTTGTCAAACATCAATCAGGAGCAGAGGAACAACCGAGGGGAACAAATGTTGTTGATCGAGATGAGTTTCAAGGGAGAATATCGTGCGTGGGACTAGATAAGCGGTAACTAGGTGATTCTAGGGTGTATAATTTGATACCTAGGGTTTTCTATGTAAATCTTGATGTCTGTTTATTTTTGCTCTGTTGCTTATGTGTTTGAACTCACTTGTGATATTGAGACACATGATCAAATTGCATGATTAAAAATTGAACAATTAGAACTGAAGAATCAAAAAAAGCTGTTATTGGCAGTTAAATTCTTCAAGTATTCACTCTCCCCCTAGGAATGAAAATTCAGTTATGCCTCTCTTGCTTGGGTAGGCTCTTGCATCAAGGGCAGGCGAGGGGAGCGGCGTATTTAGAATATGACCTGCGTGTAGGAATGAATGGTTTGCAATTCGGTTATTCCTTTCTTGCTTGGGTAGGCGAGGGGAGCTTGTGGCGTGTTTAGTATATGACCTGCATGTAGGAATGAATGGTTTGCAATTCGGTTATTCCTCTCTTGCTTGGGTAGGCTCTTGCATCAAGGGTAGGCGAGGGCAGCTTGCCGCGTATTTAGAATATGACCTGCATGTAGGAATGAATGGTTTGCAATTCAATTATTCCTTTTGTTTGAGTATTTTTTTTCTCAAAGGGATCTAAGGCAGCGGTTCCCCATCCGCGCAAGGTCTGGTTTTTGTGTCAATTTTGCCCTAACAATTATAAAATCATAACGAAAACATCACATCAACACTAGCTACAATGCGCAGGCGGCAAACACCTCGAATAAAGGAGATAGGTACATGGCATGCCTAAATTGCAATGAAGATACATGCAATTGCAATTGCTTGTTTGCACTAATCCATTTGGAACTGAGGCAGCAAGGGATGAGCACTACCATCCAAACGTGAAAACTTGTGTATACAAGGCCTTTATAAGTGTAGCCTTTTTTTTTTTTCTTTTTTTTTTTTTTTTTTTTTTTTTTTCAAACCTTGTTTCTCATTCTGCAGGAATATGCTCTAGCGCTCATGGCAGCAATTCGTTCGTTTGGTTAGGCTGTTGAAAGGTGCGGCAGCAATCCAAAAATGTTTCTGATCTGATTTTTTAATTTCTCACTTGCATTTATGTTAGTTTATTTTAGGATTAATTACAACGACATCTCATGAGGTTTGATGTATTGACAATCATATATAACTTAGCTATTTTTTTTTGGACGATGACACCATTTGATAAAGTTAAGAAAGACACTCCCAAGGGTGGCCCTTAGAAGATGTGAAAAGACAAGAGTGCCCTCAATATTTAATTCATTTTAACCATAAAATATTAAACATTTTAAAAAGACTAAAACACCCACAGAGCTTAACAACCGCTTCATCCACTTCCTTCCCACGTAAAAACACCATCATACCTCTCAAAATCCACCCAAATCTGAATGTACTATGCAAAATTACCACCTCCTACCAACCAGATTTGGTGCTAAGAAACAATGATTCCATTATCTTCAACCAGACCACGATGGGTTTCAGCGTCATCCGTTCTTGATCTTCTTCGTCCAAACCCAAATACACCAATCTGTAATAAAGAACTTCATGTTCACAAATTTTCAACTAATTAACCTGCACATTTTCAGCTCAAGAGTGAAGACCCCAAAAAAAACACCCTCACACAAACCCTTATTGCTTGCTTCAACTCTAGAAACCTCCCGATTCTCATCTACCCGAAGGTCATGAGCTTCTAATTCCTAAAAAACATGACGAACTCTTCAGGTTTCAGCTTCACTGATCACTCACAGACAATCGAAGCAATAACCACCGAAATACCCTAATTTTGGACTTCAAAGGCACAAAAAACTAAATTCAACAGAAAAACCTTTGAGTAAACCAGATCTCCACACAAAATTGACAGATTCAAGTCAGCAATCGAGCATATTCATAGCTCATTCAAGCTACACATTACACAATAATATTGTTCTCTTCAAAGAAGACTTCCACAGTTCCACGTACATACATATATATATGTGTATACATATATATATGTGTGTGTGAAGGGAGTGAGAATGGAAAAAGACTTGGGCTTTTGCAATAGGTTTGGAGTGATTGAAATGGAAGGTACTGAGAATACTACTGAATGGGGCTGTTTGTGCCTCTGCTTTTACTTTCTCTCTCATC